CCCTAACAAATCAGGAGTGGGGGGACTATGAGTGGACCTCCCTGTGCCTCCAACAAATGTATTATGGCTTGAAATAGTTTAGAAACAAAAAAGTAAAGGATGCAGTTGAGCCTGTATTGTTATAATGTAGCACAGTGAAGTGATATAGTGTCTGGGAAACGAGAAATAAATACAGTTTCACAATTTGGACACTTAGTTCTGTGCTACAGATTCAAAACCTGTCTGCTGCAGACATACTGGCTAAAATAGTTTAAACTCGCTGAATCAGAGCCTGTATTGTTATAATGTAGCACAAAGTGTCTGGAAAACGAAAATTAAATACAGTTTCCCAATTTGGACACTTAGTTCTGTGCTACAAATTCAAATCTTGTCTGCTGCAGATATACTGGCTAAATAGTTCAAACTCGCTAGATCAGCTGCATTAATTTGAGAGAGCATAGAAGTCTACTAGGTCTTGAGATATACATTGCTGATGTGTACCTCGTAAGACCTGTATCATATTTATGGAGCAGTCCAGCAGATCTCTCAACCTAGGCTTCTCTTGGTTGGTAGTACTCTTCCCACCCTGATCTTCACCCCTAGATGTAACTTATATACAAGTGGGTAGTGGTGTGTTGTGCTCAGGCTACCATCATGAGCCAACATCTAGCTGGTGAGGGGTGTCATATTTGGTATAAGCTTTACGTCTCTAAGCGTGTGTTTAGAGGGGTGGGGTTCCGATGTGGGATCCTTCCTCCTCGGCACCCACCATCTCCCAGGTCTGGTGTGTATTGTATGGTGTGGTGTTCCGGTAATCTCTTTATGTCCCTATTTCGCTGTTGTTAAGTATACGGACATAAGAGTAATCGTGTGTCCTCCATCCCGTGTTAGCTTTACAGGTCACTCGCTTTAGGTTTCCCCACTGTTAGCCAGTATGTTTAGCATATCGTCTGCTGCTCCTCTCTTTCTAATCTATCAGTTGGCCATTAGCTCATAGTCCCAGTTCGTTTGGAATTGTTGCACCAACATATGTTTCGTGGGAGCTTCCTGTGTTTTCCATGCTCTGGCTATGAGGGTGCTTGCGGCTATTAATGTATGGAATAGCCATACATACAGGAGACACACTGCGGGTGTCAACTCTAGGGGCATAGGTATTAAGTGGGTAAGAATTTTGCTCACCATTGACCAGTATGGGCGGATAAGTTTGCACGTCCACCATATGTGGTATATCGAGCCTATTTCAGACTTGCATCTCCAACACTGTGTGGATGTGCCAGGATAGATGTGTGCCAGCCTCGTTGGGACTAAATACCATCTGTATTGTAATGTTCCTATTTGTTCACAGTGAGTGATGCACGCTGTGTTCCCTTTATGTATTGTGAATGCTCGGCTCCACTGGTCTGTAGTAAAGGTGCAGCCTAGGTCGTCCTGCCATGCTTGTATGAATTTGTCAGTGTACTCTGATTTGCTCTCAAGCAGTATTGCGTATATCAGCGAGAAAATTTTCTTGTGTGGTGTTCCTGTGAGACACGGTGTGTCAAATCTGCAGAGTGTGGGCGCCCGGAGGCAGCATTCAGGGACGTACTAGCCGCGAGGCAAAGAAGGCATTTGTCTTGGGCGGCAATTTCCAGGGGGCGGCAAAAAATGCCGCCCCCAAATGCCCAGGGCAAATGCCTTGTTAGCCTGGCGGCTAACAGTCCAGGCAGACGGTTGTCCGGCTCACAATCTGGTCGGGGAGTGCTGGTGAGGGAGCACTTTCCCCTTAGCTCTCTGCTCAGCTCCCTCGCGCACCACAGAGTGATGCTGGGAGCCGGAATATGACGTCATATTCCGGCTCCCAGCATCACTCTGTGGCGTGCAAGGGAGCTGAGCAGAGCTCACTAATCAGTGCTCCCTTGCCAGCGCCGCCTGACTGGATTTTTAGCCGGACAACCACCTGCCTCCCTTCCTGTGAAAAGCCCCACTGGACACCAGGTAAAACCAAAAATCCACCCAAAGGTAGGGAGGCTGGGTGAATTTAAACTAAAAAAAAAGTAGTAATCGGTTAATGTTTTGGGAGGGGAGGGGGGCTGTCAGTGTGTGTATGTATGTCATAAAAATGAAGGCACAGTCGCAGTTTAGAAATTGCCCTTCTAGTTTGAGCTGGCTAGAGTGAAGTTTCAATTAATGTCAATGGACGGCGTGAGTTGCAAACAAATGGTCATATTGTGAAAACTATCAGGACTATGGCTTAGCCGTTGACATGTTTAGTGGCAGCAGGGATAGCTGAACGTTTTGATATAGGATTTGTGTAGGTGGGCCTGAAAATAAGGGAGTGGTGGCAGTTTAGAAATCATGTCCTGATTTTTCAGCTTTTGCCAGCTCCCACTCTAGCTTTGCCATTCATTCCTATGGGACAAATTTCACCACAAGAACGACGATATTCCGTGAACCATTCGGCGAAACGTTCCACAAAGTAATAGCAATCCGATCGGGAACAATCTGCACGTTTTGGTAAATTTTTGTCTATGTAGTGTAAAAACTGTGGGAGGAGTTAGGGTGGCAAATTTTGCTATAATAATAATAATATATATGTGAGATAACATTAAGTGGTCTTGCTATGCAAGAACACTTAATAATACAGTAGACCTAGGACTAGCACAGGAGGTGCAGGCAGGGTATCAGGGTACAGTCTTTCTAGGTTAAGTAGAGTACGCTGGGCAGGACCAGGTAAGTAGGAGATAGACAGGACTCAGGTCCAGAGCCACAGGATGTACAGTTAGAGCCAAAAGGATGCAAGGCCAGAGTCACATGATACAAGGCCACAGGGTGTAAGGCCAGAGTCACATGATACAAGGCCACAGGGTGTAAGGCCAGAGTCACAGGATACAAGGCCACAGGGTGTAAGGCCAGAGTCACATGATACAAGGCCACAGGGTGTAAGGCCAGAGTCACATGATACAAGGCCACAGGGTGTAAGGCCAGAGTCACAGGATACAAGGCCACAGGGTGTAAGGCCAGAGTCACAGGATACAAGGCCACAGGATGCAACAAGGGCCAGCTGAAGTGCTTAATCCCTTAAAGGACCACTCTAGGCACCCAGACCACTTCAGCTTAATGAAGTGGTCCAGGTGCCAGGTCCCTCTAGGATTAACCCTTTTTTTTTTTTTTTTATAAACATAGCAGTTTCAGAGAAACTGCTATGTTTACGTTAGGGTTAATCCAGCCTCTCATTGACAGCCGCTAGAGGGCTTCCACGTTTCTCACTGTGATTTTCACAGTGAGAAGACGCCAGCGTCAATAGGAAAGCATTGAGAATGGCTCCTGCTGCGCATGCACATTCAGACGAAGAGGAGGAGAGGAGGCGGAGAGCTCCCCGCCCAGCGCTGGAGAAAGAGGTAAGTTTAACCCCTTCCTCCCCTCAGAGCCCGGCAGGAGGGGGACCCTGAGGGTGGGGGCACCCTCAGGGCACTATAGTGGTCCTTTAAGGACACACAACGGAAATATTCCGTCATGATCCCCTTTTATTTCTGAAATTGTGTCCTTAAGGGGTTAATGTTACTAGAAGTAGGGAATAGCACCAAGCAGGGAAAGTGGTGATCAATGGTACTGCACAAGGGGAAAACACCTAAGGAGTGAACCAGAACCGTGACACTACTTACACTGGGCGTGTTGTGACAAATCCCCTGACACCTCACCCACAAACTTTCGCTCTCGGGAAGCCGCTGTGGCACGATGAGGCCTGGGGGTGACTATGCAGGGGAAAGCCGGACGATTTCCCCGCTAACCAGTCTGCCAAACGGATCAACTCTAATCCTACCCCCCTGGACCAGTGTAGGTTATCCTGGTCCCAACCGGACTCACTTATACAGCTCCTCGCCATACTGAGGACAGCTCCTGTTATAAGCCTGAACACGACTACTTCAGGATGGTGTATTGGCCTTCCCCGGCGAGGCAGAACCTGACACTGACCTGTGGAGAGTCAACTAGGTGTAATCTCAAGAGTCCGGCATGCCCCCTCAGGGCAAAGCTACCCGACAAGCTCCTGTTCCTCGTACATACCTAGGCTGAGGGCCAAACAGGTTCTGACCCCAGCACACCATTTACAGCAGAGGAAGAGATCTAGGTGAAAGCGGCAACACGTTGTGTGGGCCTTGCGTCCCTTAGTAGCCAGGAAAAATTTGGACTTTGGGAAACCACAGGTCCATGGTGAAGAGGTGCTGGCCATTTGACAACCCTGGGGCTGGAGGGGTACCTTGTTAAGGCTCCATCAATTAAATTTCCCCAGAAACAAAAGCAAGTATGACTAGAACTTGGCGAATGAGGGAGTGGGCTGAATAAGTGGCTTTGCTCGCAAGAAGACCTGTCGTTTAAGCGCCAGAATCCAGGTGCTTCTGCAACCAGTATTTTTTTGTAAATCTTGATTTTTGATCCTGCATGGGAATACAATGCTACCCGCAATACCACAACAGTAAATGCAGGTGTTCGTTAAATATACAATGAAACAGTGAACATGACATCAGAAACAGTTAGAGATAACATTACGTTTCATTTCGAGTAAACAGCACGGTATTTTATGTTATAAGTATAGTAGCTAAACTGCCTCTGGTGACGATTACCATGCGTTACGGTGAGGACAGCTAGGTGAAATATCAATGCCATCTCACTATAGTGTCCCTGGGTAGAACTCAATTATACGAGTTGAACTAATTAGTAAAGTGGTGAAGCATAGCGCTTGTCTGACTAGGCGGGCATTGACAACTTTAGTAAACGTTTGCATGACATTCCAGACAAAACAAAACAAGAGGACAGTCACACATAACCCTTAACTTAAGTCAGTAGGCTTATATCTACCCTAGGGCACACTGAAACACAAATCCATCGCTAACTAAGCATAACATTAAAGTTAACTACGTTGAGCTATCAGACAAACTTTAAACCTCTGGGGTATAGACTGTGATACATTGCTGCACTGGAAATAGGCGAGAGAGTAGGGCACTGAACTGTAACAGAAAAAAGGCAGTGAGTGCTGCTCGGTGGGCTCAGTCCTGAGCGGCCTTCGTCTTCTTCGTCAGCTGCCACTTGCCGGACTGCGGGTCTGCAGGCACGTCAGCCAATTCCCTGGGTTGGTAAGTCTGCTGAGCCGGTATGCGGGGGCTCGGGATCATCAGTTGGAAGATCGAGTTGGCATCTGCCGCCAACAGCGTGAGACCTTCCTCCTGTGTGGTTGGTATCTTTCCTCTGGTGGCTTTCAGCCTGGGCAGGTGGTCGTTGGTGCAGTTAGGCTTTTGGGTGAGTGCACTGCCCGGAAGAGTCCCTCCCGCCACCGTCCACGAGCTTATCTCCATCCTCTGTTTGGACCGGATGGCAGTGGATCGTGTCTGTAGCTTGTTCCAGAAGGTTGAGCCCTTGTGTCTGATTGAAGGTTTGCGGCGTTTGTGAGAGGGCCTTCGCCATCGTGTGTGGTCTGGGCACTCTTAGGTGTCTGCTGTGAGTGGTATATCAATGCAGCAGGAAAAACGTTGGTCCATTCATCCAGTGGGAACCGGGATAACCCCCACCGGTCCAAAGGGATGGTGGGGATAGGAGACCAGCAGAGTTGCTTGATGTATCAGGAGCGAGGGAGAGCGGCCGCCCCTCCCAGCTCCAACTCTAGTAGGCCGCACGTGGCATTCCGGTCTCCCGGCCTCGACGGGCTTCAGAGAGATATCCCTTGAGTCAACAGTGCACCCCTGACATGGGTAGTAAACCCCGGTAAGTTTTGTGGCTATAAAGCCGCCGATTATACCTCGAAATCTGCCCCCCAGGCAGGAGCTTGTGCTGCTCATGTCTGCACAGCTCAGAGGTGAGGCTTCCGCACCCCCTTGCCACCACCATTTTGTTTTGTTTTTTGTCTACTCTGAGCATCCTCGTGTTATGTGTTATGTCTATTATTTTCATTAGACTGTTATATACACAATAAAGTGCAAAAAAATACAATAAATCAAGTAAAAAATGGCGCTATAAAATCAATTTAAATAATTAAGAATATCACTAACAAAGGCTAGCAAGCACTCATAAAAGTGAAAATAGCTCTAAAACCACTCAAATAGTATACACAGAAAAAGAAAAAAGTGCGCTGTGCCTTTAAGTGCTAATTCAACAATTAAAAACAATCTATAAACAAATTTTGATCAGACAAT